ATACTATTACATTGTCCGATATAAGCAAAACGAATAATTACTTTTTCCACACTTCATCTGTGTCTATTGTTTCTTGTTCAAGTGAAATGGACTGCTCTTGAATTTGATGTCCTGCAGAGGGACTCCCATATCTCGTTGTAGTTGAAGGACATGGACTGCATTGAAATGTGATGTTATTAGAAATGGAATTATTTAAGATATTAACATTAATTATTCTTGTGCAGAAAAGTCAAAATATTTAAATAGTAAGATGTTATTATATTTTACGTTATAAGTTATTATAAGTAAAAATCAAGTAATTACGTATCAACCGCGTCTGGGTTTTTTGTCGTTTGTTCAGGTGATGGAACAGGCGGGCTATGTTCTTCGGAAACGTATAAAAATCCTTCAATAAATCTGCATCAAAATATGATAAAATGTAGAAACGGAAAAGCAATTTTTCTAAATAATAATAATTGTAAATTTTTCTAGTAAAATGCCATTATTACATTGAATGATATAAGCAAAACGAGTAATTACTTTTCAATTTCGTCTAGGTCGACTGATTCTGTAGGTGTAGCGGACCACTCTAGATTTTGAAGTTCTACGGCATCCACATCATCGCCTGAGTCTTTTGTCGTTTGTTCAAGTGATTGAACGGGCGGGCTATATTCCCCTGAAGCGCTTCTTTCAGCTTTTACAGCCTTTACAGCTCTGCATTAAAATGTAATATGATTAAATGTAGAAACGGAACAGCAATTTTTTATAATAATACAGTTGTAAATTTTTCTAGTGAAATACCATTACATTGAATGATATAAGCAAAACGAGTAATTACTTACCCATTCTTTTGAAGTTTGATAATAGTCCTTCCAATGTACTGGGCTGCTCTTGAATTCTCCGTTCTGCAGAGGAACCCATATTAGAAACCGTTGAAGCTGAAGTTCTAGGTCTGCAATGAAATGTGATGTCATTAAAAAGCAAATTATTTAAAATATTACAGTTATAAGTAATTTTTGTGCCGAAAAATCAATATTTAAATGGTAAGATGTTATTATATTTTATGACATAAGTCATTATAAGTAAAAAACAAGTAATTACGTATCAACTGCGCCTGGGGTTTTTTTCGTTTGTTCAGGTGATGGAACGGGCTGGCTATATAGTTTTGCAAGGCTTCTTATAATTCTGCATTAAAATGTAATATGATTAAATGTAGAGACGAAAAAGCAATGTTTTAAAATAATTTAGTTGTAAATTTTTCTAGTTAAATACTATTACATTGTCCGATATAAGCAAAACGAATAATTACTTTTT